CTCTGCAATCTCAAAATGCGGCCGACACTGTGCACCCGAGGAAGCAGGCCCAGACTGAGGGTGAAGATAATCCGATGCACCGGGAGGAGGTGAGGCCAACAGATGGGTCGGCCTTTATTGAGGATATTCGGGTGTGCGTACGGGCTGAAATGGATAATGTTATAGCTAGAATATCCTCTGAGGTGTCGGCAATTATTCTACGGGAGTTGCCGACTATTATTCGACAGGAGTTGGCCAATCTGTCGCACCCCCATCTGAGACAGCCTCCTCCCGAGTCCAAGCTAGCCATCAACTCGACGAGACAGCATTCCCCCCCACCCCTCCCTCCAATGAGAGACAACGTTCCCCCATTCACTCCTCCACCGAGACAGTCGTCGATCCCACCTCCACCTCCGAGACAACCGTCCACAATCCCCTCACCGAGACAGTCGTCGATCCCACCTCCACCTCCGAGACAGCCGATGCCCACCCCACCAACTCCGAGACAGCGTCCGCCAACCCCTTTACCTCCGAGACAGCCGCCGCCAACCCCTCCACCTCCGAGGCAACCGCCGCCAGCCCCTCCACCTCTGAGACAGTCGTCCCCAATCCCGTCCCCGAGACACCGGTGCTGCAGTCCACTTCTTCTTCACAGTCCTCGTCTTTTAAGTTTAAAGTTAATCGACAAAGACGACCATGACGTGCTATTGTAAGTCCATATAGTTCCGACGAGAACAGATGGTATGCCAAAGATGAGCGCGCATTTGAATGGTTCCTCAAATCCATGAATAAAGAAATGTAAGTACATCCAAAAGATCTTTTATTGTTTATATTTAACAAAATAAATAACTTTCTATTATATTATTTAAAAGGAGGAATGTCGGCGTTTCATATGAGGTGGACCAGGACTGGTTTAAGAAGTTGATTGATCCGGCTAAAATGATGTTGGAGGAGGTATGTATATGTTTGTCTTGTAATATCTTAACGTATAAAAATGAATTGATGGATGATGGTTGGTTTGATTTTATATAACAACACGTGAATGCATACTTGGGGATTATGCAAAGCAACCCACTATTTTTGGGGTTCCAGCCACAGGACAACATGTTGGGCACTTATACCATAGTGTCGATTACGTTTTCTATGAGATTATTGTAGTCCTTTCTTTTTTTTTTTTTCCAATTTTATTAATAATTATATTAATAACATTATTACTTATTATTTTGTTGTATTTTATATAGTGGATTCTGGGGGAATTGGAGAAAGATGTTGAAAAGAGGTTAGTGGACCTGGACTCAGACAACCTCAAATTTTTTATTCGCTGTGAGAATGACGGGGTCAGCGATTGGGGGAATCCGTGTACTTGGGGGCAGATTGAATCTGTAAGTTTTCAATGATTCCGAATCAATTAATATTGTAATCTTTCTGAAAAAATTAGTGAATTTCTCACAACTCAATGCAACAGATTATTGGAGTTGCGAATTTGTCGGAGCACTACGTAATTGTCCAGATCCTTTTACTCGAGGGGACGATACGTGTGTTTGACCCCCTACGGCTTACATATCAAAAAAAAGCGGACAAGCACATTCGCGAATCCCGTGTCAAAGCACTCAAAAAAATCCAAAATCTAATTCCACTGATTGCAACGTATGCGGGAGTAGAGAGGGTGAGCAAAAAGTTCGTTTTGAAAATCATGAACCTCAACAATACTATCTTGCAAGATGATATAATTTCTTGTGGTGTATGCATTGTGAAGATGGTACGAACTTTGCTAACAGAGAGGAAGCCCTTAGACAAGTCTAACCAGCAGTGGGCTACGGACATGAGGCGCAAAATTGCTCGAGAAATTTTTCAGTTTAGTACAGAACTAGAAACAATTATTACCGCCCCAGTTCTGTAATTACTCATGTAATACATTTTTTTTTCCCATTTTATTATATTTTTGTTGTTTATGGTATGTATGTGGCATTTCTTATACCTGAAAAGAAATAATTAAACTAAATTAAACGATGAAAGATGAAAGAAATAAAAAATAAACTTTCGAGTAGAAGTGCGAAGGGGGTATGGGAGCAATATGCGGCAATTCGCATACCCCATCGCATAACTAAAATAACTGAAAGATGAAAGAAATAAAAAAGAAATAAAAAATAAACTTTCGAGTAGAAGTGCGAAAGGGGGTATGCGAGCAATATGCCATAATTCGCATACCCCCTCGCATAAGTCATAACTGAAAGATGAAAGAAATAAAAAATAAACTTTCGACCAGAAGTGCGAAGAGGTATGCAAGCAATATGCAGCAATTCGCATACTCCATCGCATAACTGAAAGATAAAAGAAATAAAAAATAAACTTTCAAGTAGAAGTGCGAAGGGGGGTATGCGAGCAATATGCGGCAATTCACATACCCCGTCGCATAACTGAAAGATGAAAGAAACAAAAAAGAAATAAAAAATAAACTTTCGGGTAGAAATGCGAAGGGGGTATGCGAGCAATATGCGGAAATTCGCATACCCCTCGCATAACTGAAAGCTGAAAGAAATAAAAAATAAACTTTCGAGTAGAAGTGCGAAGAGGGTATGCGAACAATATGCGGAAATTCACATACCCCCTCGCATAACTGAAAGATGAAAGAAATAAAACAGAAATAAAAAATAAACTTTCGAGTAGAAGTGCGAAGGGGGTATGCGAGCAATATGCGGCAATTCGCATACCCCCTCGCGTAACTGAAAGATGAAAGAAATAAAAAAGAAATAAAAAATACACTTTCGAGTAGAAGTGCGAAGGGGGTATGCGAGAAATATGCGGCAATTAGCATACCCCCTCACATAATTGAAATGACTGAAAGAAATAAAAAATAACTTTCGAGTAGAAGTGCGAAGGGGCTATGCGAGCAATATGCGGAGATTCGCATACCCCATCACATAACAGAAAGATGAAAGAAATAAAAAATATTCTACGAAAAAAACTTATTATGCACCAACCCTGCGAATAATATGCGACGTTTTTATGTCGAAAATAATTTTTTCGACTAATAGTCGCAGATTCATTCACCTAACAAAAATAATTACTTAATAGGTGACAGACCGCGATTGACCGAATCGTACATCGAATCTCCGCATATTCGTCGCAGAACAGTCGCCTACTTTAACTCATAATTTTCTCTCCCATGCTCATACATGTCGTCTATCTATCGCATAGTTCATCGATACGTCTTCGTACTTTCTGGGGTGAAAAACTTAGCTTTTTATTGGGCGGGGTGAAAAACCTAGCAGGACTTCAAAACAGGGTAAAAATAGCTATTTTCACTTAAACTATTGTATAGCTGTGGATTTTGCTTTGTGCTTGTTGCTTGTATTGTTAGCTCAACTAAAATTCCTTCTTGACCGTTAAATATTATCTAGATGTCCCCATCTATTTAATCTAGTGAGTTAAATAATTTTCGTAGATGTACTCGTCTACTTAAATTATTCCAAATTTTATTAGTTCGTCTGCCAAAAAAAAGTTCGTTCGAATTTCAATTTCTCAAGAAAGTCTTTTTCAAGTTGTTTTTATTCCAAGCCATTTTCTTCCATTTTGGCTCGACAAAAACCGGACCTATGTGCTTAATTCCCGGCCTTTTTGTGGTTAATGAGTTTTGGCTCCAAATCTCATTTCAAACTCTAGGATCTGAGGAGCCCATATGGTATGATTATCGCACCCAAGACTTAACATTCTCTAGCCATTGTGTGCCCAAAATTCCGCCCAAGACATGATCCAAAAGGGAAAATATTGATTTCAAATTCTTCCTTGATCCTTTCCCCTCCTCCAAGTAATATTTTTAGACAAAAATTTCCCCCACCTATAGGCCTTGGTGATGAACAACATAAAAGAGTTTATTTTTCTAAAAAACTCACCCCTTCCCCGCAATAAATTTCAGCCGTCATCTTCCTAGCCGCAATCAAGCGATGCTAGCGATGCCACACCGAGATGCGAGCGCCGAGGGCCGTAGCACCGCAAGCAGCAATCGTAAGGCAAAGTACCAGCGATGGTCTTTGAGGGGTGTTCATGCCATAAAACAACGGAAACAACACTATTCTCTCGACGATACATGAGTCTCCACAGCCACACTGAGGCCGCGCGCGTGAGTGGCAGCTGAGGAGCCCAACCGCAAACAGCCTACCACACATACATTGCCAAAGAGAGCGGAGCCTCTGTCCGTGGCCTGCACACATGTCGCTGAGCAGCTGAGTATAGTCAACGTGCTGAAGAGCTGCGAGAACGCCGTCGAGGCCACGCACCAGCGACCGAGTTAAATCATCGAGGTCGAGAGCGCTGTGTCCAACCACATTTGAGAGCATCTGCCGAAATCCGATCCCAACGCCTCCTAGCTTATAGATTCGAAAAGTGTTGTAAATCTCAAAATCATTTTTGAAATCATTCATTTAGATCCATGTGTGCTCTAAGTGATGTTTTGAATCTTGTTAGATTAGAGACAATTAATGAAAATAGTGGACTTTGAACCCTTACTTTGTTGCCTTGGATTTGTGTTGAGACCCCTTGAAACTTTTGGTTGTTGTTGAACCCTTGAAAAATTGTGGAAAAAACTTGTTGCACATTGAACCTTGCTTGAGCCTTGAACCGAGAGCCAAGCTCAGCCACATGGGTGGTGGCCCAGCACGCTCGCCCGTGCTGAGAGACGTGATGCCACGCGCGCGGCCGACAGTCGACTCATGTGAGAGTTGCAGCTGTCATCACCGAGTGCACAAACTACCCAAGCCAGCGTGTGCGGCCCGACCTCGACCCTAAAGCAGGTCTCCGAGCAGGTGCGCAGGCACGCCTCTCAGTGCCCTACGTCAACAGTGCCAACGAGCGGCCCGCCTCTTGGGTGGCAGCACCCACGAACCCTGATTCCACAGCACAACCCACAGACCTGCAACGTGTCTTCGACGCTCACCCCAGGACAGGCGCGCAGCCGTGATTAGGTGCACAGCTCATGAACGGACACGCGGCTGTGGCCAGACGCGCAGCCCGTGCTTGTCTAGATGCGACTAGTTCACCTCGCAGCTAGCCGGTCTCGCCGAGACGTGAAGGCAGCAAAGCATAGGCACCACGCCACCCGCGGTCTGCGACTGGTGCCAGCGCGGTTAGACCCAAGCCAGCGCTAGCCTGTGAGACTAACCCAAGCCGTGGAACCATTTTTTAGCTGTTTGGACAGTTTTTCATGCCAAACCTTATGATAGCCTTGTGAACCTTTTTCTGAGTCCCACTAAATTTTTAAGAAGTGCTTAATCAATAAAGTTATTGATTAGGTTAATTCGATAAATTTAAGTTTTAAGAGGCAAGTTATTTATAGGAATATTCTTGCCTTAAATTGTAGATTCGAGGAGTTGATCTCTCGAGTGGTTGTGTGCAGTATCTACAATTCAGCATCATCCGATTTGAGGTAGGTGTTGCTAAACTCTATGCTTTTATTCTTTATAATCGCATGATTGTAGGTTGATGGATGTAAATGAATAGTATGTTGTGTGATGAATTTGACCGTGTGTGGCGCAAGATTGTGTGGCGCATGCGTATTGACTGTGTGGCACATATGCATTGACTATGTATCGCATGCGTATTGACTGTGTGGCACATATGCATTGACTATGTGGCGCATTCAGTGTAAGCTCCTGTCGTTGAGCGCCTGTGACTATGTGAAGGCGAGCCGATAGTAAAAATGTGTACACATGAGACGAACTGATGAACGAAGAAGTTGAATTGGTTGAAATCTTTGTGGATCATTACATATTGAAATTATGCTCTCTGTTATTATGATGAATAACTGCATGGTTCCCACGACGAGCTTGTGTTTTCTCACCCCCATACATTAACATTTTCCAAGTTGAGTAGTTGGCGGCGGTAACAAGGAGACGATGGTGGTCGAAGTACTTTTTAAATGATTTTATTGCTTCCGCAAATATTTTCCCAACTTTGTGTCAACTTGGGTTTTAATATAGGATTGTGACTGTTTGAAGATTTTCAACTGTGTGTTTTAAGACTTTGTGAATAAGAGTTTGTTTTGACTTGAGTAGTAAAAGGAAAAGATTGTTTAGTAATTTTAAAATGAGTTCTATATTTGAAAATGTTTTTCAAAAATTCAAATTATTTCTAAAAAACTTAGTATTTTTTATTGAAAAACAAGCGGGCATTACAACGTGGTATCGGAGTAGGTCTATGGTTCTGTAGGCTTTCAAATTTTCAAAGTTAGAATTTTTTTTTGAAAATTTTTCAAAAAGTTCTGAGTTTGACCTCTCGTCTCCGTCGTGCCGCACCAACTCCGGGGTAAGTACTGTGTGATAACTCAGCTCTACTGTGTGAATACATGTACGACTGTCTGTGGTTACATGTAAGAATCTGCGTAACATGAAGTACTTTGTGCGATAGCATGTAAGAATCTATGTGATATAGTGGGAATAAATTTGAATTTTGTTTGATTACAATGATGATTATGTGAGATTACAAGCATGATTCTGTGTGATTACGAGTATGATCCTATGTGAATTTTAAGAATTATTGTGTGTGAATGCAAGTACGACTCTATGTGATTATTCGTACGACTCTGTGTGAATGCAAGTATGACCTTGTGTGAAAACATGTACGGCTCTGTGTGAATGCATGTTGGATCCTGCGTGAAGGACTGAGTGACATTGTGTGATTTCCAATATGACTCTAGAATGGGGCCTAGGAATTTATCCTCAAATTCAAAGGACTTGAACTCTAGTAAAGTTGGGAGGCTTTGAACTCTAATTAAAGTTTTGAGTTTCGAACTCAAATCAAGTTGAATTAAGTGTTGACTCTAGAGGTTACCTCGGTTTAGTTGGCGAAGTGCCTTCGAACAAGTATATGTAGCAACGGTTTTTGCCGTGTATAAGAGTCACAAGTCCATGTAAACCATGGAGGCTTGAAGCTGGACCATGACTAACATTTTTGAGGTAACTTCTATTGTTCAGAAGAAGAAAAGTACAGAAGATAGCATTTTAAGAGACGAAGCAAGGTTTGTATCATGAGTTACCTCGAAAAGGAAGAAGAGCTTAAGAAAGAGAAATTGCCAATGGTTCTTGGTGAACGTTGTCTAGATGCTCGAAGAAGAAGCAGGCAACCGAAGAAGTTCTAATTGTGCGCGAATATCCAAATATCTAGAGCAGTTGACCGAAGGGCCAGTAGAAGCATGGTGGAACCCATAGTCGTTTTGGTACAAGGAGTAGGACAAAGTGTGTCAGACACTTTACTGTTCGACACCAAAGGGGTTGCTAAAATTCAAGAGCATTAATATTGTCGCGACCCTCGAGGATAGTTGAACCTCGGGAAAAGCAATAGTTACCGACTCTCTTGTAAAAGACTTGAATGATAACATCAGAGGGTAGGACTTGAAGGCAAGCGTGTGCGTGATCTATATGAAGGACTTCGACGTGATCTTCAGGATAGATTGACTGAGCAAGTACCGAGCAGACGTCTAGTGTTATGATTGTGAAGTGACACTTTACCTGGAGCGAGACGAGAAGATCACTTTCTATGAGGCGAGGACCAGGACAATGCCAAGGGTTATTTCCATGTTAAGGGCTATGAAGATCCTGAAAAAAGAGGGTAGCCGAGGGCTTTTAGAGAAGATTATAGGGAACGATACGAAGAAACCATCTTCGGAGGATGTGCGAAAATTTGTGAATACTTAGGGGTCTCTCTGGAGGAAATGCCAGGGCCACCAGACGGGCAAGACGAGTTCGTAATTGACTTAGCAACTGGGGAACCAGTCATTTTCGTAAAGAAGAAGGATAGGTCGATGAGGGTGTGCATCGACTACCGTGAGCTCAACAGACTGACAATGAGGAATAAGTAACCACTGCCGAGGATTGAGGACTTGTTCGGTCAGCTGAGGAGAGCCAACATGTTCTCGAAGATCGATTTGAGATTTGGCTACCCTCAGCCAAAGATCAAGGAGTTCGACGTATCTAAGACAACATTTAGAACCCAATATAGGCATACGAGTTTGTAGTGATGCCTTTTGGGTTAAGCAACGCGCCGGTGATACTTATGGATTAATTAGCCTTCGTGTTGACGATGACGTCTTGGTCTATTGTCAAATAGCTCAACCGCTTCACCATGGATGACTGTTTTTCTCCTTTGGGTGTCTGTGAGAAACGTGTGAGCTATAAGAACTGTGCTCAAACTACAGCTCATCCAATAACCTTTCATCCTTTTCTAGCCCTACAGTCAAACTAATATCTTCAATGACCCCCTCAATCACCCGGTCTAAATTTTCATTCTCATTTTCAACTTTTCTCTCAATCAAGCCCAATCTTCATTCCCAACATCCATTCCAAAATCATCCCCAACATTTAGAAAATTGCAATTTTAGTCCAGTAACTTAGGCTGTTTTCTACTTTAGTCCAGTAACTTCGGCCGATCCAAAATTGGTCCAAAAACTTTCAAAATTTCGCTCGATTAGTCCAGTTTCGGCGACGGGGCCTCAAATCTGATCGGAATGCGCTGAGTTGGCAATTGTCGACGTCGACTGGCCTTACGTGTACAGATTTCCGACCGTTTAAATGACGTGGACTCCACACTTTTTCCATGTCATTTTTTTTTCCCATATAATTCAATTTTTCCACATATTTTATATAAATATATTTAGTAACCCAAAATCGGGTGCCAAAATTACTTAATATCAAACCCTAATCCCAAAAATTACATCTTCGTTCTCGCCATTTGAAACAAACTCCAGATTTCTTAAGTTTCAAACGAAAGTAAGAACCCTAATTACAAGCCAAGCCATCATCGTGTTCGCCATTTCCGTCAAACGAAACCTAGGCCTTCGTGGTTTTGTTGAATCCAAGCCTTACACCATCGAAGATGGTGATGTTCAGAAACCTGCTACATGCTGGCCTGTCCCCTCCCTTATATCGTTAGTCTCTCACGTGTTACCCTTTATATTTGCTTAGTAAATTCAATATACTATGCGCAAATCCATATAAGTACATGTTTTTGTGGTCCCTTGTGAACTTTAAAATTTTAAATTACAATATTTTTTTATGTTTGTCGGTTAGGTGTGCATTGATATTGAACATTGAATCATGTGGGGTAGGGTGGGCAAGTAATGTCGATCTTTGGGTGCTTTTGACTTTATCTTCGAATTTTGAAAAAGTTTTTTTGTTTGTTTACCTTTTTTGCATAATTTATTTTCGCAGTAAGTATAATGTTTGATGATGTGATGATGCTTTGTCATTGTAGATCCGGATTCTTCAGCTGTAACTCTTGTGATGCATCATGGAGGTCAGTTTGAGCATGTCCCTAAGGCAAGATACATAGATGGTTCTGTGAAAGTTTTTGACTATGTTGAAAGGGGTCATATGTTGATGGAAAATTTTGTTCACTGGGGAAAAGAGAAAATTTGTGATGGTAAGCTACGGTTTTACATTATGGTTGATGATGCTTTCAATCTTGTTGTTGATGATTCTAGTTTTGTGGTTGGATATTTTGATGGGAAAAGTGAAAGAGAAATGCATGTGTATGTGCAAGTACTTGAAAAAGAGAAGGATGGGATATCAATGGAGGAACATATTGATGATATTTTAGATTCTGTGGAAGATAGTACTTATTGTGTGGCTAGTGAATCTGAGGATGATGATATGATTTTTAGTGAACATGTTGATGACATTTCTGCAAATTTTGAGGAGATTCCTCTAAATGATAATGAACATGTTGCTGAAAACATTAGTATTGATCCTGTTGTTCATGAGAACCCTGATAGAAATAATGAATCTGAGATTGCTTGTGATGGAGATAGTGAAAATTCTGAGGCTGATGTTGTTAATGGTAGTGGAGTTTTGGATGATAATTTGTCTGATGATGAGTTCCCTTTGTTCAATCCAGATCTTGCATTTAATCCCTCATTTAAAATAGGCATGGTGTTTAGCAGTAGGCCTGTGTTTAAGAAAGCTGTCACTTCTTTTGCAATCAAAACCAAAAGAACTGTGAAATTCAAAAAAAATGATAAGTACTGAGTTTATGTGGTTTGTGGGGAAGAAAGTTGTTCTTGAAAAATTCACCTTGTTTAAGTGAAGGACTCTACTTCCTACAGAATCAAGGAAATGAATGCCAAGCACACATCTGCTCCTAGTTTTTATGTAAAAAATGTTAAATCATCTTGGTTGACTGAGAAGTACATTGATGACTTTAAGACTGATCCTGGTAGAAAAGTTAAACCATGGAGAAAAGGGGTTGTGAAAGACATTGGAGTTAATGTTTCTAAACATCAGGCATATAGAACAAAACATAGGGCTTTAAATCTGATTGAGGGTACCTCTAATATGCAGTACAGTAATTTGTGGGATTATAGGGAGGAATTGTTGAGGTCTAATCCTGGTTCCACAGTTTTTTTAGGGACAGAGGAAAATGAGAATGGTGAACAAAGGTTTAGTAAGTTTTATGTGTGTTTCTCAGCAGTAAAACAGTGTTTTAAAGCTGGTTGCAGGAGGTTTGTAGGGGTTGATGGTTGTTTTCTTAAGGGTCCACATAAAGGTCAATTGCTGACAGATGTTGGTGTGGACCCTAATAACAATCTATACCCTATTGCATATGGAATTCTGAGCATAGAAAACAGACAGAATTGGGAGTGGTTTCTAATTTTGTCGAAGAATGATCTTGAAATTAAGGAACAGGAAGATTGGACATTTATATCAGATAAGCAAAAAGGTCTAATTCAGGCGTTTAATGAGGTTTTACCTGGTAGTTTTCACAGATTTTGTGTGAGACATTTGACCTCCAACTTCCAAAATGCTGGTTTTAGGGGGTTAGTGAAATGCTTTATGGAGATGTGCTAATGCAACCACTGTTGGAGAGTTTAGACACCAGATGAAAGAAATGGAGTCTCTATCACCAGAGGCACATGTGTGGGTAAGTGGTAAGCCACCTGAGCAATGGAGCAAAAGTCATTTTACTTATGGCCCTAAGTGTGATTTGGTGTTGAATAATGTGTGTGAAGTTTTCAACAGCAACATATTAGAGGCTAGGGAAAAACCAGTTTTGACTATGCTTGAATGGCTTAGGCAGTATCTTATCACCAAAATGCAACAGAACAAAGATAGGGCAGAAGTGAAATGGACAGAGAAGTGGTGTCCAAAGATTAATCAGATACTTGTTGAGCATATTGAGCAGGTTGGTAACTGCATGCCTTTGAAATGTGACAATGTCCATTGGGAAGTTTCAACATTTAATGGAGGGCAGTACAATGTGAACCTGAAAGAGTATACTTGTACTTGTAGAAAATGGGGACTCACTGGCATATCTTGCCCTCATGCATGCAGTGCAATGTACTTGGCAAAATTGGATCCATTTGACTTTTTGGACCCATGTTATAGTGTTGAGACTTACAAGAAGGTCTATGCCCCAACAATCATGGGCATATATGGTGAAATGTTGTGGGATAAAAGCTTTTACATACCACCACTACCTCCTAACTTTGGTAGAGGTTCAGGCAGGCCAACAAGGTCAAGAAGAATGGATGCACATTAGGTAGCTGATAAGAAAAAAAGGAAAACTGGCAATGCTACAAACAAACATCAAAATGTGGCAAGTGTGGTGCAATAGGGCACAATGCAAAGACTTGTAAAAAAAGAGCTCTAACAAATGTGGAAAGTGAGCCTGTTAGGTAGTTACAGGGAAGAATGTTTCTTTTTTTTCTTAGTTTTTAAACTTTCATATAATTCTTACATTATAATCTGATTGTATGTAAAAATTCATATTTTTGTTTATTGTTCAACAGGTAAGAAAGAACAATAAGAGCAGGAGTGCAACTGTAAGTGGTCTAATTTTTTTTTTCTTCATTAACATTGTCCATCATAAACTATGAAATGCATGTACACATTTTCTTAAATTTGTAGGAAACTGAAGTGGAGCCTAGCCAAAATCCATTACTTCCACCTGAGTGGATTCAAGAAGCCTCTGAAATTGTTGTGGAGACCAATGAAGTGCCCTATTGCACACAAGAATCTCAAGATAATGCATGTCCACCTGCACATATGGAAGGACCTTCTATGTTTGACAAGCTACAAGGAAGAAAACCAAGGGGTCCTCCAGTTGAGCCTAGAGTGGGGCAAAAGTACAAGCCTTTGTATGAAATAGCTTCTTCATTGGATGAAAGCAGTCATTTCAGGAGATTGTGAAGTTTGTAATATTCATGTTTGATGTTTTTGTTTGGATTTGATTGGTAGTACTTTTGGTGGATGGTTAGTGTTTTTTGGATGTTTGGTTGATGTTTAGTGTTTTTGAGAACCCAGAATTGGTTAGTGTCATAACCAGAATAGATTGTCATGTAATGATGAAGTTTATGATGTTTATGAAGTTTGCTTTTTGGGCACATATGTTGTTTATGAAAGCATAATGTTATTATGAAGTTTTTTGCCCCAAAACTGTGAATGTTTGGACATGAGGTTATGCCATTATGCTATTATGAATGAGTTATGTTATTTTTGTGTCTATTTTTTATCAGAATGTTGGAAGTGATGTTTGGCTATTATGATGATGGATTTTTGGGAGAAGTTTGTACATTGTAATAACACTTGGACATGAGTTTAGTAAAGAACTTGTTTTTTCCATTCAAAACAATGTCATACACATTCAGATAAACAAGAACAGTTATCTATGAGTACATTGTGTAGAATGGTGTTTGATCAGTTATCATATACATTGCCTATGAGTACATTGTCACTAACTGAGGAAAAAACCATTCACCATTCTCAGAAAACAAGAACAAAAAGCATCAACAAGAACAAGAACAAGAACACAAACAAGATTTTATAGCATCAACATCCAAGTGATGGATTACATAAAACAAGAACAAGACAACATCCAAGTCATGGGGGGATTACATAAACAACTGACAAAACAACAAAGCAACATTCATAGGCAAATATTTTGAAGCTCTTACAAGTACAAGAACACAGGCCACTTCTCAACACTTTGATTTGGTCGGGCCACTATTAAACAACACAAGGCCGACTATGAAGACAATCATAGCTGCTGCAAATTTGAGTAGCCTCATGTTCTTCTGTCTCAGAGCTTTATTCTCATCCTCCAAAGCATTAACCCTTCTTAGGATCCCAGGTATAATGGCTTTTGCTCGCCAACAAATCAGAGGGTCCTCCCATTCAAAAGACTTGCATCCTCCTTTCTACATTAACCGAGGGAACTCAATATGAAGTAAAATTTCAAGAATTTCAAGAACCCTACACTACATCAAATTTTGAATTACTAACCTTCCATGACAAACACGAGTGAAACCTCCTACCGGGATGATCATCGATCCACGAGGTGCGAAGGACAACTCTTTTTCTGCATTCACACTCAAGGGAGCTCGAAATGAAAGACATTTTTTTTTCAGAATTTATTTTTGCCGATGCAGAGCTTCAAGAGAGACGAACTGGTTCGATTTTGGGATTAGGGTTCCATTTTTATTTTGGGTCTTGTGAACGTTGGGCCTCGATTTTCGTAATTCAAATTTATTTGAATTATTTGGGAAAAAAATGACATGGAAAAAGTGTGGAGTCCACGTCATTTAAACGGCCGAAAATCTGTCCACGTAAGGCCAGTCGACATCGACAATTGCCAACTCAGCACATTCCGATCGGATTTGAGGCCCCATCGCCGAAATTGGACTAATTGAGCGAAATTTTGAAAGTTTATTGGACCAATTTTGGATCGGCCGAAGTTACTGGACTAAAGTGGGAAACAGCCTAAGTTACAGGACTAAAATTGCAATTTCCTCCTTTTACATCCCTCACCAACCCTAACCTCATTTTTTTCCTCCTCACAAAGTTGCTCAAAATCATCTCCAACCCTTCCTTCTTCAGCCTCACTTCTTCCGACCTACTCATTTTTTTTCTTCATTTTTCATTTCCTTCATTTCCGAATCGGACACTTCGATTTTTTTTCGAAGATCTTCGTTCTCATTGCACACATTTTCCAACAACTGATTCTTAAAGAATCCATGTACATTAAAAAATCAATCCATAAGTAATACTCGTATGGAAATCTATTAATGCTAAAACATAAATTCTCGACCAAAATTAAAAGAAACCTAGTTTTGAACAAACACATGCTCATCAAGAACTGGGGATACCGAATACACCTAAAAATCAAATCTTTGGTTTCATATAATAAATAAAAAATGAAGAAGAAAATGTATAATATAATAAAACTATATAAATTACCTTATGCCTCTTGAATTTTCTAAGGGATTTCAAAGACCCTTCCATTGTCGAAGACAAGGTATACCTCGTCCATCGAAATAGCTAGGGAATCGCCTCGAGTGTTGATCTCTTACCAAGAGAATGGATGCGCTCATACAACCAAGCCTACACATACACTTCAATATTTCAAAATTTCAAAATTTAATACAAATGTATTAAGAAGCTAAAAAAACTCTATACATATCATCCATCCCACCGAGCATCCGTCAAAGTATGATCGATCTTTTGATTCACCATGCCGAACAAGCTCTCTAATATTTAAGGAATTTATGAATAGCATCTCCCCATGCATACTCACAAATTCTACGGACATCCTCTATGTACAGTCAATAAACATAGGTATGGAATAACAAGAACAAGGAATAAGATGCAACTAAACACCAAAAAATTGAGCATCCGAATAAATTCGTCTACATGACCTTCATTCTCCGCAAACTGCCCTAGCAAATCTACAACGTCTTACCTTTTTAAACTCCTACGATCTCCCCGACCCTAGCATTCAAATAACACTTTCGAATCCAGCCCAACATCTAAATCTACACCTAGCCCGGTTTGTCTCAATCCCATGGTAATACAAAATTCAGAAGGATCAAAGTAAAGAAACAAATCGTAACCGACTACAAATGCATTTTCATATGTTCTATATGCATCAATCAAGGCTACTACTCTGGTATGGGTTATGGGTAAGTCAGGCATACTCAAAAAGAAATAAAACAAACTCTTTTATAAAGCCTGCTTATGTGCGTCTGAAAGAATACATTTATCTTGTTCATTACAACTTTGAAATACGCAAGCGAGCACCTCGATCTCAATTCATTACCCTATCACAAAATATAAAACAAAACAAATTTTCAAACATATCATATATGCTAAACAGATGCCACAATGTTGTTTTGAAAACAATAAAACAATCGAATATACAAAAAACAAATTTTTGACCAAAGTATGGTATACATTCAGTAATAAAAGGTTTATAATTCACACTACTCTAATACAACATAATACAACAATTCTACCAAGCCTTAAGGCCAAATGAAACCGAACGGAACTAGAAGCACTCCAAAAACAGAAAATTAACAGCAACAAACCAAATCCACACAACTAACAACACACCAACTTATTTACAAACCAGAAAACAAAAAAGATAAATAGCACAAAGAGGAAAGAAAACTAGGAAAACAAAATGCAACATGCTACGAATATCTTCAGCAATAGTATTTGAATTCCAGCCAAAAACACCTTAATCCCTTAAAAAAAAAAATCAAAGATGAACAACAAATTAAGCACTAAAAAACCCTAATATTACTGCAAAGAACACTAATTTATCCATAAAATCCGTAATTGATGAAATATTAATCAAATTTGAAGTTTATTACCACCAAAGAGATAACCAAAACCCCAATTATTAGAAAATTCAAATTCTACAACGAAATAAAAATTTTGAAGAGAAAAAAGCTATAAAATTCAATTCTACAAGACTAACATTATGTCTTGGATTCGATGTACCGGAAGATGGTCTGTTTGATGGGTATTTAGATCTTGAGCCCGCCACTAAATGACTAACGGAGACGGGGGTTTTGACGGAGATGGTGGACCGAGCTTCACGAAGGTGGCGAGCCGAGCTTCAAGGAGGTGGCGATGGAGATGGTGGCCGACGAATTTTTGGGAGAGTGGTCAGCGACAGAGATGGTGGCCGGTGGGAACGATCATTCCGTTTGGGACAATTTTTTTCTTCAGTGGGGATCAATTTTCTTTAGTGGGGACCGATATTGATTTACAAATTAAAATAAATGGTTAATGATAATAGTTATATATATGTGTGTGTATGTGTGTATGTGTGTGTAGTTTAGAGGAAAGAGAACAAATGGGTAGGGAGGGCAAAGGAAATATAAAAACTTAGGAACTGACAAGGATATTGAAAAGGGGAGGTGAAGATTTATTAGCAAATTACTGATTTATTAATTTATTATTATTATTATTATTATTATTTGGTACAAAGAGAGAGGCTAGCGTCTGCATACCGAAAATCGGTATATGTCGTGGATAAGAGACTCCGATAATGTCGTGGTTTAACCATTGCAAGAGTTCATCCGGCGGCACATCTAAAGATTGAAAGCCACATGGACTCCTTGCAGCAATTCTCGCCATGCAATCCGCAACAAAGTTGGACTCTCGAAATCTATGGAAGACCTTCACCGACCACTGCTTCTTTAACAAATCTTTGATGGCCATGATTAAAACGCTATGTAACCCATGTTCAACATTTCCACTTTGAATCATCGGAAAAGTGCATAGACTATCCACTTCCGTGATTACCTAACAATAACTCGAGTTCCATGCTAGGTGGAGTCCTTGGAAAAGCCCTCATAAGTTCGCCTCTGTAATGGAGCAAAATTTAATGTTCATGATAAAACCCTTTATCCACCGGTAAGAACGATCGCGTACTACTCCACCTGCCCTAGCCATCCCCGACGATGGGTTAAAGGATCCATCTAAAATCAATTTAATCTATCCCCCAAGAGGATCCGTCCATCGCACATACACCATCTCACTTCCGACCTCGAACCCACCTAACCGTCGTTCTCCCATGATCACTGCGGAAACATTACTCTTCCAAGTCCCAATTTCTCTCAACAATATGCCCACACGAAAGGTTTCTCCCTTAAAAATTCTTCATTTTTGTGCATTCATAAAGCAAACCCAAAGGTTAAATCCCAACCCGTGCCATCTAAGTCAGTCCTCAAACTCCAATGTATTAAAACTCTATCCATTTACCCTAGAAAATAAACTTTTTCAGACCGAGGAGACGTTTGAGTTATCCCTCAACGTATGCAGCAATGACTCTTCCTGGGTTGGACAAGAATCACATCTATTATCAATCGTCAACTTACACCTACAATGTTCAGAATTTGTGAGTAGTCTTATCCTATAGATCAACCACAGAAAACTTTTGAACTCTTTGGGGTCCGCTCCATGACTATGTTTTCTTATATAAGCGTCTAGAGCTCAAGTTCCCCAGTTGAAATAGACTCTCATAGTCTAATTTCGTCATAAATTTGCCAATAAATTTTGTCTTTCCAAGCTTCCAAGTTTGGCGGAAGAATGACTGCCACACACATTGGAGTTGTTGACGGGAGGAGATGGTCGAAGAGCTCCCATTTCCACATGCCCGCTCGTTGAAAGAGTCCACAATAGCATATAATAAAGCTTCTGGTACTAGGCCAATAGTAAAGCTAATTAGCATCTCCGAGCAATTCAGCCATCGGTCCCACCAAAATAGTACCCTGCGCCATCCTCCAATGACTACCTCTCGAAAACTCAAAATTTTTGTGCATCTCAAGCGCGTTTAGATTATATTTTGCCTTCAAGATCTAAACCCAAAGAGCGTAATTGTTTTTCAAAAAATTCCACCCTAACTTTATGAAAAGTGCTTCGTTCATCAGTCTTTGATCTTGAGTCTCAAACCCTCGCAATGTTTTGGCTTACAAACAGACCCCCAGTCTACCAGGCTCACCTTTTTATCTGACTCTGTACCTCCCCATAAAAATCTTCTATTCCAATTCGTCGCACACAAAATACAGAAGTATGACTGTTTACATAGTGTAGAAACGCAAACAGCTTACCAGCGATTGGACTAGACTGACTCGTCTCGCCATTGATAAAGAAGTAACTTTCCACCCGGAAAGGCGTCCCTCTACTTTTTACAGGATCCTCTCAAATGTTTGCTTATTAATTCTGCTGTGAATTAGAGGGACCCCTAAATATCTACCCAAATCAGTAACCTTGTAAATTCGAGCAAGCTACTAATCACCTCTCTTTTTTCAATCCTAATATTATTCAAGAAGAGAATTCTAGTCTTCGAGGCACTCACTTTAAGTCCGGAAGCCTGGCAAAATTTTTTTAACACTCCCTTCAAGCACAAAGTCTGATCCTCCATCGCCTCTAAGAATAGAAGTAAGTCATCGACAAACATCTAAAAAGGTACTCGCACGGCGTCTCTACCAATTGAAATTGGCCGCCATAGGCCCGCATCGACCTCTAAATGTATCAGGTGAGCCAATCTCTTCATACATAGCACAAACACATAGGGGGACATTGAATCCTTGTCCCTTGACGAACTCCTCTTGAAGGCCGTAACTGGCCACACACATCCCCATTAAATTGAACCCGCATCGAGGCTGAAGAAATACACGTTGATATGCCCCGAACAATATTATCCGAAAATCCCGTAAATTTTAGAGTATCGACGACAAAATCCCACCTTAGCCTTCTCCAAATCTAACTTATTAGTATGTGCACCACACCACCCAATTAATCATTAATTATAGTTTCACCTACCATAATGAAAATCAGCTAAATGGAGCTTCGTGTTGTTTGGCTGCTGTCCAACGTTGCCAAACCGATGACCGCTAACTTAAGAATTCCAGCGCATTCCTGATTAAGAAATACCAATTTAAAGTCTTACTTACAACTTACATCATTAAAATACTTGACACAACGTGTTTGATGATCGGATAATCGATTGAATTGATATTTTCTCCTCCACCGCCATTGAGTTCCCCAATTTCGGCACTCTCACATGGCTTCCGATGTCGAGCGGTCCTCAGTCTCCTTCGTCAGAAAGGTATTGTCGTCAACTCAATTTCTTTCTCCTCCTTGTCTTATCTCTATCTTGTTTTTGTAATTANTTTTCACTTTTTCTAATTGATCGTGTGCTATCAACATGTTCGTTTGCTCGCAACTAGCAGGTTTTTACTATCTTCCACTGACTTAGTAATGAAATGTATGATAGCTGATTATATGCTTAATTTCTTTTGTTTTTGGTTGTTGAATTAGATATCTTCCGTTGAAAGCGGTGGCGCACAGGAGCCTCTTCTGGAAAAAAGTAGAGACTGTGAGGAGTTTTCGGTGGTTTCTGCTGTTCTTCCGTGAGTTAATTTTTTTACTTGTGGTTATGATTGTGGTGATGTTATGGAACAAAATTTGCAGATTGCTCCAGCTTAGATATTAGCATGTGGTTTAATACCTGGAATATTAAATTAGTCATGTAGCCGTTGTTCTGGTATATTTATATGAACATTTAGCATTTACATTCAAGATCATGGCATGATTAGTGACTCAATGCAATATCAGGTTTCTATTCCCTGCTTTTGGAGGCCTTCTGTATGGTTATGATATTGGAGCTACATCTTCTGCTACCATTTCCATTCAGGTACTACTTATATAATATAACATTGCTTGCCAATATTTATGTTTCTGGCTTTCATGTTGACATAGATTTTGGGGTGGGTTCTGAGAAGACCATTATTGTGCTATTTGTTTATAAATGTTTGTAACTATGACGTCATTTCGTTTGGATGTTAATGCTATTATAGATGATTCTCTATTTAATTAGGATCATCTACTGAATTAATTGTTATCTATCTAATAATGCAAAATCTCCCAAGTCTACCAATGATTTACTGCGAAATGGAGTGTGTGATGTGATTCAGAAACTCTCAGAATTATTAGATGATATCTAAGTACAAATTCTCCTTGATGAGCTCATCTATTTTCTGTTTCAATATCTAACAATTTGTCTGTTTATGTGAGACCTGTACTGAACTGAACGGACCTTTTGTTCTTGTTGTTCTGCATTCTGTCATAATTATGGAAGTATATCATAAAACTTTGCATTCTTCACTTGTCATTTATGCGTTGTATCTCATTCTTTGTACTTTGTTAAAATAATGGTAACTAACATTAGATAAAGGCAAAAGTCAACCCAAACAAAACAATGAAATTAAATAGTGTATCCTAAATGGTTTTTATCTTCTTGCCAGTGCATGATAGGGACAATGTTTTGCATCTAATCGAAAATTTTGTTCGTGCATATTGTTGAATCCAATTTAATGTCCATAAGATATTTAATCTCATGTATGGTTTAATTTTCTGGTCTGACTACCTCAAGATCTTGATTATGGTGAAATTGGATGCTTAAACAATTTCACTTGATGCATGGCAGTTTGGACTTTGGACTTTTGATGTACTCTACCCATGATGCTATTTTTTCTGTTTCCTATTGCTTTGCAGTCAGCAACATTAAGTGGAATTTCGTGGTATAATTTGTCTCCAGTGGACGTTGGTCTTATCGTAAGCACACATGTTTTTGGTGATGATAGCTTCTCCTTAGACTTTATCTTGTCCGGGAAGATCACATTTCTTTTTCCCTTTTCTTTCTTTCTTTTCCTTTTTGCTCTTTTCACGTTGGGCCTTCAAATTGGGGCAGACCAGTGGTTCACTGTATGGTGCATTGATAGGCTCCATTCTGGCATTTAATGTTGCTGACTTTCTTGGTTAGTTTAATTTTTTATGTTAGGTTGAAAATTACAACTAATTATCCATACCATTTATTTGTTGGTCAATTTTAATTAGTAAATACTGCAGGAAGAAGGAGGGAATTGATTTTGTCATCTGTCATGTATCTTGTTGGAGCTCTTGTGACAGCCTTGGCACCTACTTTTGCTGTCTTGGTGATTGGACGTTTCATTTATGGTATAGGAATTGGATTGGTAAGGAATGATGTAAAGACAATTTTGCACAAGCTGTAATACAATTGTATATCTTTAAGATCATACATATAGACAATCAACTTACATCTATTTATATTGCATAAACATTGATGATAATTTTGCTGTTGGTCAGCAGCTAAATACACGTCCACCTTCAAATTAAGCTCTGCTATCTGACCCTCTTTTTTT